TAAATAAATTAATAGAAATCACGAGATACATACAAATTCTTATGATGATTGATACCACGAAAAATGATCGATGACTTTAAGTAACATTAAAAATGATACATACAAATTTTTTAATGTAAGTATTAAGTAAGCAATGATCGAATATGATGAAATTGTTTGGCTGCATGAATGAAACCATCACCTGTGCAGTATGTGTTTGTTGTTGGGCACTTGCTGGCGTTCTTAGTATAAGTTGAACACCACCTGGTTGCTGTTGTACAATAACGGGTCCAGTTGACGGCAAAACCTATATATGAAATGTGATAAACATATGAAGCACAAAGCAGATATTTGTGACACTAAAATGCACATAAGCCGTTATAATAGAAATCAAGCGTATTAAAAGTATTTTGTATTGGTAAGTGCTAAAACAGGCACATGTATACTTTCAAATGATCTCAATGAATAAGCATGCGAATGATAAGAACCTTAAACAAATATAATTACATACCTGATTTAATAAAAGGCCTTGCGCTGTTGGTATCATTGTAGCAGTAGTAGGATTTGGTTGAGGTCCAGCAAGAACTAACTGCGGTTGAGTTTGTTGAGTAACCTTTACAATCATTCAATATTTTAATTATAAATGAATTTTTAAAACAATTCAAATAATTATAATTCATTAAAATATATTACTTGGTTTGTAATCGTAGTAGTAACACGTTGTTGTTTTTGTTGTGATCCAGCTGTTTGCTGATTAGGTGGTTTTGGTAAAATTTGTGGGGGTTGCTTGGCAGGTTTAGTTGTTGCTATTTGAATTTGTTGGTTTCCAAAAAGATGCGTTCTAGTTACTAGCTGTGTTGGGGTTGACTGATACCCCTGTGGCGTACCATGAATTATTTGCAACACTTGCATACCTTGTTGCAATATAGGTGTATTAGGTCTAACCTGGAAAGTAAAACAAATATTAAAAATCTATAAATTCAATCAAAAGCGGAGACATTTGATTTGCTGCTTAGAAGAAAAAATGATTTCTTACCACAGGTGGACCAGGACTGCCACCAGGTGCTGGACTTCTGTTGTTTAGAGAGTTATTTCCACTTAATAGATGAGGACTTTTAGCAGGAGGATATGGACTAAGTACAGGACTTTGAATTTGACTAACACTCATCGGACTCTGCATTGGACTTTGCATTTGTATATTGAAATTATTATTTGAAGTTGACGTCCCAACAGGACTCGGACTATTTCTGTTCGATTGTATCGAATTTGAAGCTGGACTTCTAAGTAATAGCCTGTTAGGACTAGGACTTGGCGTGGGTGGCGCAATATTAGACGCCGGGCTTTTCAATGGCATTGAAAATGGACTACTCGGAGAACTAATATTTTGACTTTGAATGTTTTGCATAGATTTTACAGTATTTATTGTACTGACCACATTTGATGGCTGAGACGAGCCCGTTAATGTTACTGAAGAACTTAACCCAGGGTTAATTCCCTGTGAATACTGTCGCTGAGGTTGAAATCCAGTTGATTGAGAGGAACTTAAGGAAGATGTATGACTCAGTGACATATTCGGCTCGTTTGATGCAGATATATGCTGCACATTAGACGTTGATACATTAGATATATTTGAGTGCATTGTACCAATATGTGGAATATTAGTAGTGAGGTTCACATTTGAAGCGTGATTCACATTTGCTGTGGTCGAATGAATCGGTTCGCTGGAAGTGCTTGTAAATATACTGGAACTTGTTAAAGTACCAGCATTTGATATTTGTGAAATTGTAGAAACGTTTGAATTTTGGTGTTGCGATATGGCAGAACTTGGTACATGTGCAATATTCGATCCAACAATGTGTGGTGCAATACTTTGTATACTTTGTATGGTTTGGAATGGAAATTGCGTACTGTTGGAATTCAGACTAGTTTGAGTCAATCCAGTTGTTAAAGCATTAACAGGTCGATTAAGACCTTGATTTACACCAGAATTTATACTGGTAGTTGTCAAATTCGCATTTATGTTTGGATTAATAGCAGTTAAACCAGATACACCAGAACTTGGGGAAGTAAAGTTTGTGCTTAAACTGGTAAGATTCTGGTTTACATTTGAATTTAAATTTGTTAAATTTGGATTCACATTAGTAATCCCAGTATTAACATTCGACAATCCAGAATTTATACTCGTTGAATTTAACGTATTGAGTCTATTAATTCCAGGATTTATATTATTTAAATCTTGTCCCAAACCAGATAGACCATTACTAATACTGTTTGAACCAATATTCGAAGTTAAATTGGAGTTTATAGCATTCAAGTGATTCAGGCTAGGATTTATCGTAGGTAGTCCTGTATTTATGCTTGGCAGGCCCAAATTGAGCAGAGGATTTGACGTAGTGATAACATTAGATGTGAGGGATGTAAGGCTGGTATTTAGAAGTGATAGTGGCAATCCCATATTAAGGCCCACCCCAAAAGTGGGGGTGGCCGGGGGTAGGCCCATACCAGTCCCCGAGGGATTTATGGTACCCTGATTTAAATGATTTAGTTGGTTTACATATACTATGTGATTTCCAGTCGTTGATCCATTTCCTTGGTCTTGAGGCTACAATACAAACATTTGTAACAGAACTAATTAGCATTTAGTGACTTTAACACCAAATAGTTTCAATTAAACGCAAAATATTTTTTCTACACTTCTTAATAGAAGTACTCACATTATTTGATGTTTGTTGCAAAGCAAATGTTAGAGACTGACCACTCGAATTCTGGGCCTGCAATTGTTGCAACTGTTGCAACTAAAAATTAAATATAACTTAGCATTAATAAAATATAACTTTTACATGTTGCTTTTGTCTTTAAAAAAGACATACTTGTTGATGCGTTAAAACAGCAACAGGATTGTTACGCCGAGCAGTCGGGGAAGTTGTAGAGGATACTGAGTCCCCGAGAAGAGGGCGTGACTGAGGCTGCTGCATGCCCACGCAGCCCCTCTTTACTCTGGGCAGCGTCTAGCCACCTTTTCAGTTTATCTATGCTTGCTTCTAGATACTTCTATACATTCGTAGTACACATTGAAAATTATCAACTGAAAGAGAAGATGAAATAAATAAGCTTTAATGTATAAAAAAACAGATGTAACATTACGAAAGAATATTATTTTAAAATAATAATAAAGATGAAATGTTAATTTTTAATTTCAGAATTAGTTTTAGGTACTAAACGAATCAAATTTTATTTAATTTTACTAGTTCCTACTGTATAGAGATTACTTACCACAGAAGAGCTCAGCGACAGAGAGAAGTTAAATTTGCGCTGCGGCGCCACTCAACGCGTCTGCGACCTACGTCTCCTATTCCTGTCATCCATGTAACTTCGTATTTCACCCGTTATTTAGGCAGCACTTTCTTATCACTTTAAAATATTTGTATTTATATATGTTGTTGGTATTTGCGTTTAATATCATACTGAAGCGCTAACCATATTTGTATATTAGTTTCTTATATGTAGTGGGTAGTTCTTTTTAGAACTACATTATCCATTAAAGAATAACTGCACAATTGCATTTTGAAAGTACTCTGACTTATCTTTAAAGAACATTTGTTGCAGGATCACATCCATGTATAAACACAATTGAACTACATTTTTCCATGACATTACATTAGAAATTGTGCATATAAAATAATTCTAGATGTCACTTTCTAAATAATATGTCCTTTGTATTATCCCAATTCCAGATAATATTCGGCAGACATTATTTAGCAGTTTCTAAACATTCAAAACACCGATATCAAGACATTTTGTGTTTATATCACTAAGTATGATTTGAGGCTGTTTCACATTTCAGTTTCATTTAAAAGCGTCACATACACTACACTTATGGCTTCTTAATATTTGCACTCAATTTGTGTTCTGCAACATACAAACAATATTCTATTAGTAACTACTGGCAAAAGAGGTAAAAATGAAAAATATCACTCGAACGATATTATTTCTTTTTAATTCACAAGAAACCTTTAACATTTGGTTTAAATGAAACTTTTACTATCAAACAGAATGCATTTTGTTATTGGGAAATTGTGTTATATGTACTCGAGTAGAAAACAACGCACTGTTGTAGCACATACACAATTATAAGTGTAAATAATCGTTTTACAGTAGAAAAAATGTTCGGAATAAAAATTCGACAGCTGGAAACACATTTTGAGGTTATAACTTGCACGCCTGTGTGCAAGCATACGTGCCACACAAGCCACTTACACGCATACAAGAATCGCATACATCTCACTCTCACTTATGGGTACCAGCGGCGCGCGGATGCACACAACAAAAGCCCAACTGACAAGGCGTAAACAAAAGAAAAAGCAATCATCTGTAAAAAATTTTTTGGTTTGAATAGCTGAGAAACTCGAAGAAGGTGTCCTAGATATGTGTATTTCATATTGACGCGGAAAAATGCGAGTAGCGTCGTGATGAAAAATTGTCAATATTACCTCCGCGAACGCGGTTTTGCCACCCGTGTTTTCTTCTTACAATTTTTCGTTTTTTCACACCTCTTTCAGCATGATATTACTTCCGCACACAACCTTTTATTCCTTTGCGAACAAAAACAATGTATATGAACAACACAAGGGGAAAAATTCTACTTAAAATAATAAACTTTTCTGGCACACGACAGTTCCATGTACGCGTTACACTATTCGGTGGCAACGGCCATCATGTATTTGTCAAGGCTGCCATTAGCACAAGTCTATAAAATCCCAGTGCTTTTACCATTGGCGACACCTCGGTTATGGTACTGTAACTTTTTGCAGCACCCATTTAGCAAACTCTTCATCCTGATTGGTCAATGCCTTACTTATAACCAATCAGTACACAGAAACTGTTAGTAATCTTAATGTACTGACAGTTTCAGATTTTGAGGGAAACGCGTGTTTGCAATGATAGTTTTATGCGATTACACCATTGATATTGAACAGAATTATAATGGTACGTGTTTGAATATCACTTTATTTCAGACTATAATTTTATAAATCGTTATTGACAAAACATTTTTCAACTGACAAAGTTCTATTCGTCTGTGTTTATTGCTGCCGCGTAGATTTAAATGTGTATTAACAATTTACGCATATACACATGTGTTTTGAATATGTATAAATTATATACCTGTCACTCAAAATTAAATGCACGGTCCTAATTAAATAAATCTCATCGCATTTAAAATAAGCACATATATTTTTTTATTTTAAATAACAAAATAATGATATAAACAATTAAATTTTATAATACCTAAAACAATACTTTTACTCAACATATTCAGAAAAATCTTATATAAAAACATTTTAATTTCTTACTTTTTTTTACAAATAAAACTGCAACTTTATTACCATAATTATTTATAAACCATATTCTGAATCAAATGATCCAACTACATATGCTACAACTGTTGCATGATCTAATTTTCCAGGAATCATGGAAACCTTGTCCAATGTTTTTATTCGCCGAGTTCTCTGTTCTTGTTTGGAAAGTTGAACTAATTGGCCGTCTTTACTTTGCGCATAATATAAATCAGTATCTTCCAATATTCGTCTTTTGGCAGCAGTTATTCGTACCTTTTTGTATAAAAGTTAAATTCATGTTAATATTTAAGATCGGCATTCAATTTTATTCCATACCTTCTAGTTTCATGTGCGTTCGTTTTGTAATTAGAAAATTAATAAAATCATACATTACATGCATATTATTTTATAGGTATATTTATACTTCAGATTACTTACAGCGAAGTCCAAAAGAAGTTCACAAAGATGTTTGGCACTGTTACATGGTGGACCTTCTCCAGATACACCTCTTCGTAACAAATCTTCCATTCTAAGAAGAGTCAGTTCATGTCTTTGATAAGCCTCAACTACTGGCAGATTAGATTTATTTCTATTACTATTGCCGGATTCAGCGTGTCTTAAATTTTCTGCGGATTTTCGACGAGTTTTCGATCTTCCCTCGGTATGAGTTTTCATGGTTGAATCAGGTACATTATTATGGCATGGTAAAATTGCAAATTTCCCAACTACAGGATCAAAATTGTCTGAAATTCCGTCGCTAGTTAAGAATACAATGTCTCCGTTTTCAACTTCTGTCATTGCAAGCGTTAAATTATTTAATTCTGGATTGCATCCATCTACAGGACCTAACGCTCCAAGAGCATCTCGCATGTCACGCATACAATGAATATCATGAGATCCTCTTGTTATTTCTCTTACTCCAGTTTTCCTATAAATGTTACATATTATTTTTATAGAAAAAAATATAACAGTTTCTAATACGTTAACGTTATTTTTATTACCTTGAATATACATAAGCTAAACTGTCACCAACATTACAGGTACAAGCCACATATTTTTTCTGATCTGTATTAGATTCAGAATTTGGCAGTGGAAGAACTGCACATACAGTTAATGTTGTAAGCATTCCTTGCTCTTGTAGAATTAATGAATGCGCAGCATGGAATGATCGAAGTAAGGCTATAAAAATGTCTTTTGTTGTTGTTATTTCATTATTAACCGAAGGACAGAAGAATGCTTTATTCAAGTATTCCATACTTCCATGTACAGCAGATCTGGCAGCAATACTTGCTTTAGTACCTAATAAATAATTATAAATTTTATATATACATGTAACAAAAAATATTTTTGAATTGTTTAAAAATAATCATACCCCAATTAACACCATCTGCAAGTGCTAAAATAGCTGAGTTTGATCTTGCTATAATTCCAAAACAGTCTGCAATAGGTTCTCCGTTATTTATATTATTTGTAGGGTTTTTCTCATACAATGTAGTAGCAATTCCATATGCTGTCTCATGAGGATTAAACCAATCAGAAATGCCAGCAATCATGGGAGTTGTGGTTGCAGATGCTAAGAGAAATAATTTTATTATTTTTGTATTATTTCTTTAAAATTCAAAAATTTATATACTTACTGTTTCTATATTGTTCACCTTGATCTAACATATCAATGTAATCTATATCAATATCATTAATACTTAAATGTTTTTGTTGTACGTTAACCGCTATAAGTCCATTATCAGGACCAGTATGGGCAGCAAATACTTCTTTATCTTCTTGAAAGTTTCCAAGTTGCGTAATTGGTAATTCTTCTGGATTTCTACCATGCACAATTTCCGGTCCTTCCTGCTTTGTCTCTAGACTGAAAATATGATTTATATATTATATTCTGTTCACAATATTTATCGAAATGCTATTATTTAAAATTTTTTAAAAATTATTACCCATCTAGGTATCGTGTAATAAAGCAACCACTTGCAAAATCTTGTGTTAACGATCTAGGACTACGTAAAGTTTGTTCTCCTTGACCAATATTTTCCACAGCTCCTGCCAAGTTGCTGATTGACAATTGCCGCATAAAGCCAGCAACTTTTTTTCGTAAACTTGGCATTTTCTTTTAAGGAAATTGAATTCAAGTGCAGGTAGAATTTTGATCAATATCAGTTATTATAAAACATGACATTATAAAATGGTTGACAATTACTAATGATTCAAACCATGATCTTACTTTGAAATATTCATCCTTCTTAAAACCTTAATGAAAAAAAAAA